CCTGGACTGTGGTTTTCCTTTGGCTTGGAACTGTTCAAACCTGCTCTGGTCTGAAAACCCAGGAGAGCACCAGGAGCTCACACCTGTGGCCCACCAGGGCCTGGGACGCGGCATTTTCCAGCACCAGAGGGACTGATAAGGGACTGAGTGAGCCAAACTACACTCCACAACAAGGACTGTCTGAATTTGCCAACTCTTCAGAACAGCAAGAGATTTAATTGTTTAATATTGTTTTCATTTTTTATGCTTGTGAATACTGTTTTTGTTAAATAAACAGTTTTTTCCACTTTTCTCTAATTGAATCTTTTCCTGAACCAGATGCGGAGGGCCTGCTTGAATTCGTTTACCAGGGGAATCCCGTTCAGAGGCTCCCTCCCAAATTTACCCTAAACCAGCACACAACCCAAACCATTCCATGAGGATTCCAAATGCGCCCCACAACAGCCCCAGGCAGGAGTTCCCCTGCTGCACACAGCACCAGCCTGACAGAGCTCAAGGAGCATTTGGACAATGCTCTCAGGCACAGGCTGGGATTGTTGGCATGTCCTGTGCAGGGCCAGGAACTCAACACCAATATCCTTGTGGGTCACATCCCACTCTGGATATTTAATTGTTCTATATTGTGATGACTCTGTTTCATGATTATTCCACCTGATGATGACTCCCCTGTGTTGTCCCTATGCCCTGGCTCTGGCACAAAAGCCTCAAAAGCCCTCTGCAAGGCAACACTACCAGAGGGGGTGAATTCCTTTGCACAGCTCCCAGCCAGGCAGTCAATCAGAGGGAGGGCACTGCTCTGGGCACAGGTGAGATGGAGAGAGGGGCTGAGGGCAAAGACAGAGAAGTCAAACGCCCTCAGCTAGAGCCAGTACCCAAAATCAGCAGTGAAGAAGGGGAAGGAGATGACAGGAGCAGCAGGAGCAGGGCACAGAGCTTCCCTGGCAGCTGTTTCCATGAGCAGCACAGGAGCCTGCCCAGCAGGGCCAGAGCAGAACAGGGCAGGCTGAGCACTGAGAAGTGGCAGCTCAGCACCAAGGCCATGGGCACCAAAGGGCAGCAATGGAGGGTGGCAGTGAGCAGCAAGGAGAGCAGCCAGAGCAGGGCACACAGGAGCACCGGGAAGCACTGGGAGCCGTGGCAGGGCCAGCAGGACATGGGAGGACAAACAGAGCTGTGACAGCACTGAGGGCTGTCAGAGAGGAGACAGCAGCAGTGAAAGCCAAGAGGATGGGGACCTTCTGCCCAGCTGGCACAGCCCACGAGCCCAGCTGGTGGCAGAAGCTCTCTGGGACAGAAAATATCCCCAGGGTGATGGTGATGGAGAGCAGGAAGGTGGAGCCAGCCATGGCCAGGTTGAGCACACAGGGGGTGATGGGGTTCCTGTGGATGCTGAAGCTGAGGAGCCAGAGCACAGCCCCATTCCCACCATCCCACAAGGCACAGCAGCAGCAGCAGCAGCAGCAGCGGGACAGGCACTTTGCTCCACTGCCTGTTGTCACACTGGCTCCAGTTTTCGTGGCTCTCCTCATTCCAGCTCCCCTGGGATGCCTTCCCACCAGGCTGGCTCCAGCAGGCAGGGCTGGCTCCCTCCGTGCCAGGGGACAAAGTGCTCACGGTGACACCTCTGCTGCTTCTCCTGCCCTCACACAGCTGCAGGGCTGACAAACAGACACACCACAGCAACGCTGCTGTCCCCCAAACGTGGCTTTCCCATCTTTTCCCACCCACAGCTTCCATGTGGAGCAGCACAGGGAGGGGTGAGGGACAGGACAGATGGCAAGGAGGATGTGGGAGCCTGGTCCTGTGTGCCTGGCACAAAAGCCAGGGAGATACCTCCTTCCTAGCTGTGGACAGCACACTGCTGGAGCAGGAAAACAATTGGAGGAGAGAGGAGAGGATTGCCCATGGAGATATCAGAGAGCAAATGGCTTTGGGATGGATCTGAGCTGGACTCTCAGGTGTCAGTTGATGTCACTGAGCTGCTGGATTCCTTCAGCAGGACACTCCTTTCAATATTCCCTCCCTTTTCCCACAGTGTTTATAGCTCTTAATTCCCTACAGACCTCGGTTCTGCCTCTAAAATCAATAACCAGGTTCCACCCAATGAGGGGGCCCTGATGAAGGTGGAAGAGAAGAGTCTGACCTGGCTTCCTCTGGCAGCCTGGAGAACTTGCCCGCAGTGCACTGCCCTCAGCTGCCAGGCTCCAGCTGCTGTCCCTGGGCCGGGATCTGCAGGAGGTTCCCTGGAATGGTCCCTTGGGAAAGGGGAGCGCAGCCCGCGGGCTGAGCCCGAGCAGCGTCCGGCGCGGGCTCTGTCCCAGCTCCTGCCACAGCCCCTGCTCTCCGTGCTGCCTCGTGTTCTCCAGGGCTCTCACACACAGGCAGCTGCCTCAGAGCCTGCCACGGGCTCAGGGCTCTGCTCCTCAGCTGCTCTTCACTCTGCCTGGGAAATGAGCAACGGGAGAGAGCCTCAGCAACCACACCTGTGCCCAAAGCACTTGGCTCCATCTCAGCTTCTATTCTATTTTATACAAACCTCAATCCCGATATCTTGTCTTTTGAACAGGCTGAACTTTTCCCGTGTCATTCTTGAGGAGGTTCCTTATGGCCCTGCAACACAAATGCTCAGTTAAACTTTGATTTTTGGTTCAAATCTAGTTTTCCCCCTTGTATACTGCAACTTCAGTGGTATTTCACCTTCACCATACAGTTTCCAAGAGGATTCATACAATAATAAATTCTGTGCATGAGCTGGAGCACTGGCACAGAGCAGAGGGATGATTTAGGAGTTCAGCCAGGTCATTTCTTCTGAGAAGAGGCAAATCAATGCTAGTCCCATTGTGTTGGAATGTTGGGAGACACAAGACAGATGATGGACTTTGGACCTGGTTCACATAAGAGATTTGATAACAGGATGCCTTGGCAAAGGCAAACAGAACTTTGAAAATTAGACCTAGATTGCAAAAAGAATAAATCAGGCAGGATTACCGGAAAATGAAAATCCCATTAAACTCTGCAAGCAAGAGATGTTGTTATATGCATAAGGTTGTGTATGTGATTTTAACCTGATCATTGTAGTATACATTACTAGTCCCCCTGAAATAGTATATAAAAGTTTGTATCCCCCAATAAGATTGGATTCTGATCACCGAGTCAGTCTCCCCATCTCTCTTCATCGATGACACCATGGCTTTAATCCTTAGAAAGTTACAAGTCTTATCTGAGTTATCCTCTATACTCTCTTGGCAGTCAGACAGCAGCCTACAGTGAATTGCAAGGAATTCCTCAAAAGCTGAGGTGAGATGATTCCTACCCAGGCTGACATGTGCCTCAGGGATCTGGGATGCTCCTCCTGGAAACTGCTGGCCCTGGGACAGAACTGTCACCTCTCTTCCTGCTGAGACTGTGTTTGTGTCCCCAGCTGTGGAATCTCACATCCCCTCACCAGCCCAATCCTTTCTAGGGAAAACACTTCCTGATCCAGGAGCTGATGGGGCTCCAGGAGAGTTGGAGAGGGACTTTGGACAAGGGCATAGAGTGACAGGACAAGGGGTAATGGCTTCCCACTGACAGAGGGTGGGGTCAGATTGGATATTGGGAAGAAATCCTTCCCTGTGAGGGTGCTGAGGCCCTGGCACAGGCTTCCCTGTGAGGCTGTGACTGTGCCTGGATCCCTGGAAGTGTCCAAGGCCAGGCTGGATGGAGTTTGGAGCAAACTGGCATAGTGGAAAGTATCCCTGCTGGCAGAACTACAGTCTGGGGTCAGACAACCACCAAAATAACCCCAAGAGTTCCCAGGACTGAGGAGGAGCAGGAGCAGCCCTGGTGAAGGGCTGGCAGGGGGTTCACAGCACCCTGGTCCCTGATAGCTTTCACGGCATCATCAAGGGGATTGGCAGTAATTAGGGTGGGCCCCAATTGCTGATAGCCTGGCTGCAAGCAACTGAGTGCTGTCCTTCCCTTGGGCTGCGTGAGGCTGCACTGCCATGACAGGAATGGGAGTCCATGGCCCAGGGATGATCCCATGAGCCCAGGGGAGGATTTGGCAGTGATTCTGGAGCTCTTCACAGAATGGGAGCTGTTTCTGACAAGCAGCCAGGTGCTTCACCAGCACTGCCAGCACTGCCAGCAGCAATTCAGTGCCACCAGCACCACCAGCATCCCTCGGCTGCTGGAGGGACAATGACCCCTCTGGGAAGTGAAATGAGGAATGGTAGAAATCTGTCAGAATAGGGAAAGAAGTTGGAGAAAGGGACATTCTGCAGGGCAGAATTGTTTCTCATCAGGAGGAAATTAAGAGGTATTTGCAAAATATTTCAATTGGAGCTTTAGACAAAACCACTCCCTCTCTAGTGTAAAAACCCCAAGATAAAGGTCTCTGAGGACGTGAAATTCTGACATAGCAAAAGCTGCAATTTCCCACTCACCTGGGACTGCACTGAGCCCTGGGGAGAAACTCCAGGACAGGGCCCAGAGAGGAACAGGAGTGGGAAGATCCTGGGCTGCCTTCACCTGGGCACTTTCTCCTTCATGTCCCTGACCACGCAGGAGCCGCTTTAGGACATGGATCCCAAAGGAGCAAGAGGGGCCAGGAAGCGCCGCTGATCTGCACAGAGCCCTTTGCCTGCTGCTGCCCCACAGGGAACAGGTCAGTGGAATGTTTGCCTTCCTCCCTACCCCACCTACCTCTCCTGCAGCAGCTGCTCTGTTCCTGCCACCCTCTACCGGTGACCCCTGTGCCCTCCCCAGCTCCCCCCTCCTCTGCCCTGAGCTTTGCTTCTGCATCCTCTGCCAAACAGCCCAACACTCCCTCTCCCACCCCACAATTTCCCACTGCCCTCCTTCCCCTGCACATCTCACTCCTTCCCACTGAATCCTTCCCACTACAGGGAGCTGCTGAGGAACCGCATTGTCCATCCCTGGATTCTCCAAGCACTGACTGCCCATCCACTCTGACCACAGCCAGGGGCCACATCCCACTGCCTGCCCAGCGTCCATCCATGGAGGTGAGCACCGTCTCCCCATCTCCTGCCTCATCCACTGAAGGTAATGATCTGTGTGAGACAGATGTCACCACCATGGCCATACACAGTGTGACACTGCTCATCTGCCTCTGTGGGCTGGCTGGGAACGGGGCTGTGCTCTGGCTCCTTGGCTCCCGCACTTCATCCAGGAACAGCACCATCCTTTACTTCTACATGCTGGCTCTTCTCGACTTCTTCTTCCACCTCATTCTGTTGCTCTCCACTGCGCTCTTCCTGGTGGGGGACATGTCCTGTTCTATCATCATGCCCTTGTCACACGTAACGTTCCTTTCCTGGATGTCACTGTTGTCTTACAGCTTGTGGCTGTGCACACTGACATTCATCAGCATCAAGAGGTGCAGGTTCATCTACTGCCTGCTCTGGCTCTGCTGCCACCATCCCCAGCAGCTGTTGAAGGTCATGCTTGCCCTGCTTGGGGCCTTCTTCATCACTCTTGTCATTGTCTTTGCCATGATGCTTTCCCTGTGCATGTTCCAGCCACCTGAGCACTGCTGGGTGTTTCTCAGCTTAATATACACCTCCAACCACCTCCTCTGTGCTCCCTCCATGCTCATTTCCAGCACAATCCTCTTCACTCATTTCAAGCCTGGCTCCCAGCAGCAGCAAGACAAGAAGCTGGACATTGTTATCTGCCTCATTGTGCTCTTGTCTCTGCCCCTCAGTCTCTGCAATTTCCTGCAGGAACTCAGTTACACCATTATGCTCTCCCAGGTTTTTTCCTGCTCACCTGCATCCACAGCAGCATCAAACCCCTCATCTACATCCTGGTGGGGAGGTGCTGGAGGCCCTGCTCTGTGGGGTCTCTCTGGCTTTCTGTCAAGAGGGTCTTTGAGGAGGCAGAAGAAAACACTGCCCACAGCAATGATCCTGCCATGGACACAGAACTCTGAGTGTGTTGATTGCTCCCACTGCACTGCTGAAGGACCCTGGGATAGTGGCTGAGAGATTCCTTGAGTCTCCTGATCAATAAATACTCACAGGATCACCCTCCCTGTGCTGCTGCATTCCCAGCCCCTTTCCAGGCCGCTCTGGGCTCTGATCCGTGCTTGGGAGGCCTCAGCCTTGAGGAGCAGCCCCTGGGCTCAGCTCCTGTGGCGCTGATCAGAAACACCCTCTGCTCCCAGCAACTGCTGCTGTCCAACCACCTCCTGGGCTTTTATCAACAGCCTTGCAAATTATTGTACTGCCCTGGATGCCACAGCATCCCTGCTCTGCCACTGTCCCAGGAAGCTGCCGGCCCCAAGTGTGGCCAGGCTGAGCCATTGCTGTGAGTGCCGCCCATGCCTTGGGGCCCTGTGAGCAGCGGCCCCAAAGGAGAGCCTTGGAGCTCTGCTGGGCCCAGCAGCGCTGAGCAGAAGCTCCCTGGCACTGGGGCTTCTCCCAGCTGGGATCTCTCCCGGCTGCTGCCCTGGGCTGATCCCCGAACACCCACGGCTCCTGGGCCCATCCCCCAGGGCTCCAGGCCCAGCCCTTGGCCCAGGGAGGAGATGCAAAGGGATCCACAGGGAGCATTTCACTGCCTGCCAGGGCAATTGCTCACAGGCACCTTGCACTGACTCTGGCTGGCTGGCTGGCTGTGTGCACACACGTCTGCATCTGCTCTGGCAAATGTGGCAGAAATGCTGCTCTCTCAGCTGTGTTAGTGCCTGAAATATCTGACTGGGGCAGGCCTGCAAGGAACTATCAGGCATAAACAGGGTTAAATGCTGCTAAGTGATATTCCCCTGCTGAATTCCGTTTAAGGTGTAACTGAAGTACTCTTCAGTTTGAATCCTGTTAAGGTTTTGTGCCATTTTTATTTTAATCCTTACTCTCACTGTCCTTTTGTCACCTGCCCTTGAACTCACACACAACCACAATGCACAAAGGGACAGCACTTTGGTGTCGCTTATTATTAAACCTGGTTTTTAATTATTTCCTTACTGGTAGTTTTGTGCCTTCAGACATTCTTCCTCTGCCCTGGCTTTGGCCTCTCCCTCAGCAGGCTCAGATGGTGCAGCTCCAAGGGGAGGAGCAGTCCGTGCTCCTCAGCACAGCCACCCCCTTCCAGGAGCAGGGTGACATCTCTCTTTGTCACCGTTGTGTCCATGGGGCATCAACCCCCTCCCTGTGGCTTCTCTGAGGTCTCTGAGCTGGGGGTGTTCAGCCTGGAGAAGGGAAGGCTTCAGGGAGACCTTAGAGCCCCTTCCAGGGCCTAAAGAGGCTCCAAGAACTGGAGAGGCGCATTGGACAAAGGCCTGAAGTGACAGGCGAAGGGGAATGGCTTCCCACTGCCAGAGAACAGGGTTAGGGGGAATATTGGGAAGAAATTCCTCCCTGTCAGGGGAGGAGAGGCCCTGGCACAGGTTCCCAGAGATGCTCTGGCCTCCCCATCCCTGGAGGTGTTCCAGGCCAGTCTGGATGGGTTTTGAAGCAGCCCAGTCTAGTGGAAGGTGTCCTTGCTTGCAAAGGGTGAGATCAGGAAAAAACAACCACAAGTGTTTGCAAGGCTGAGGAGGAGGAGGATGAGCTCTGGTGAAGGGCTGCAAAGGGCACCCCAGCACCCCAACATCTGGTCTCCAATAGCTTTTATTGCATCATCAAGGGTACTGTCAGTAATAAATGTGAGCTCTGATGCTGATAACCTGCTGCAAGCCTGTCGTGGTTTGGCACTGGCCAAACGCCAGGCACCCACGAAAGCCGTTCACTCACCTTCTCCTGCTCTCAGCTGGGCAGATGAGAGGGAAACAGCAATTAACAAAGGGCTCATGAGCTGAGATGAGAACTGGGAGGAAAAAAACACTCCAAGAATAGAAAAAATAGAGTTTCAAATGTAATGATATTAAGAGGCTTTTTTAAAAAGAGAGGAATGAGGTACTGCCCTCTAGATATCAACCACAGGACACCTAAATCTTTCTGTGAAAAAGAATTTATGGTTCCCTTAACAGGAGAAACTAACTTCTTCCTGCCTCGCTCAGTCCTGAAGATGACATCAGGATTATGAGGAAGTTGACGATGACCAGACAGAATCCTTTGTTTGAATGGAATTTATGCACCATGTATGAGATGTATGAATATGCAACAGGCTACTGCTTTTAAGGGTTAATCCTCTGTTAATATGTGTCCTTTTTCAGGCTTTTTTTGCCCAGAAAGAGGACTGTTTGTAACTCTTTGTTTTTACTGTCCCAAAATATGCTAAATCCTAATTGTCCACATTTTTATTACTCTAATTATATTACTATTTTATAACCATTTTATTACTATTAAACTGTTAACATTTTAAAAACAAGTGATTGGTGTTTTTCACAGAGATGCTGGAAGAACTGCTGCATGTGTTCCTCAGGAAATTTCTCCAGAAGGTCTTTGGTGGGCTAGAAGAAAACACTGCCAGCAGCAATGATTCCACCAGGGAATGATTTCAGTGATTCCATGGCAGTCTGAGCCTGTTGATCCCTTCCACTGCACTGCTGAAGCACCCCGGAGCATTGCCTGAGGGTTTCCTTGAGTCACCTGATTAATAAACATCCGCAGAGTCACTCTCCCACCTCAATTCCTGCAGGGGAAGGCAGCAGGAGCATTGCCAAGGGCCATGTGGGAGGGATGCTCTGTGGGGAGCACATTGGAGCATGGCTTTCCCTCCTCTCTTACACCTCCCAGAACACTTAAAACCCACTTTCCGGAAAGGGATCCTTCTCAACACGGCTGTGACCCCAGAATTCCCCCTGGCACCTGGTTCCTGCATCCCACTGAGGTCTGATATCAATAAACAGCACCATGAACCCTGAGCTGCCTTTGCCCCCTCTGCCAGCGCTTCCCGGCTTCCTCTGGCTGCTGCTGCCAGCCGGGAATGTGGCTGGAGGGAGGGGACACGGCCATGGCTTGTGCTCCCTGCAGCAACCATGATGCCCAGTGCCAGAGCTGGGCTGGCACGGACACGATGGCCCAGGGGCTCAGCATTCCCCACCCCGAGGGCTCTGTGAGTGTCACAGCAGAGATGTCCCTGCTCCCGGGTGCAGCGGGGCTGGCGGACAGGAGGGGAAGCGTCCCCGGGGGTCTGGGCGTGTGGGAGGGAGCAGGAGGAGCCAGGAAGGATCTGGATGGTGCTGATCCCAAATGTCCTGATTGGAGAGCAGCAGAGCCTGAGGGGCCGAGGTTCAACACCGGGAGCGGCCATGGGATAGGATGGGATGGGATGGGATGGGATGGGATGGAATAGGGTGGGATGGGATGGGATGGGATAGGGTGGGATGGGATGGGATGGGATGGCATGGCATGGCATGGCGTGGCGTGGCGTGGCGTGGCGTGGCATGAGAAGTGGAGATGGGAATTGGTAGTGATAGCAAAATCAACCAGAATAAACTTTCCAACACAATGAGAAGCATTAGGAGGCAGATGACACACAGACGGATCTCTCCATATTTCTCTTTGGGGTGAGATTTTACAACAGGGTTTTTTCCATCATAACCACACACTATAGTTAAAGTGTGTTTCTTTTCTAATACATAAACATCACTTTCCTAGGACTCATTTCCATGCATCCACCTCCTTCTCCAAGTCCTTTCCTGGCCCTGGAGGATCATTCAGAGGGGTCTCTGGTGGTTGCATTCACTGAGTGCTGTGATATCAAAGGTGACCTTGCCGTGACCTTTTCCTTTGGCCATGTGCTCTTGCTTCTTTTTACAGAACTTGCCCCAAACCACTGCAGGCCTCCAAATCTGTTTCTGCACTGGCTCCAGCCACATTTACCTTTCTCTGTTCTGCTCTGGAGCAGCTTGGAGCTGAGCTTTGCTCCTCCCTCCTGGGTCTAAGAACCCCATGGCCAGGAGGAGCAGAGACACTGCCGGGGCTCCCTGGTGGAGCGGGGAAGGATCGGGGCTTTTCCGGAGCACAGGGGTCCCCAGGGATGGACTGGGGTGTTGCAGGCAGTTTGGAAAGGGTCAGGAGAGGCTTGGAGCAGGTTGGAGGGGGTCTGGATGCCAGCAATCCCAAATCTCCCCACTGGAGGAGAGCAGAGCCTGACAGGCCGCGCTCAGAGTGGGGGAACGGCACCATCAGGGAAAGCTGTGGGATGTGATAGGATGGGGTAAGGATGGCGAGCGGGGTGGGGACAGGTATGGGGATGGGGAGCAGGGATGTGGACGGGATCAGGATAGGAGGAGGAGGCAGCTCAACTGTGCTTCCTCGGGCCAGAGCATGTTTTGGCAATGATCTTAGAGCCCTTCCCAGAACAGGAGTTGTTTCAGAGAAGCACCCAGCTGCCTCACCAGCACTGCCAGCGCTGCCAGCATTCCAGTGCCACCAGCACCACCAGCATCCCTCTGCTGCTGGAGGGACCATGACACCTCAGGGAAGAGTAATGAGGAATGGTAGAAACCTGTCTAGAAAGGGAAGGCAGTTGCAGAATGGGACATTCTGCAGGGAAGGAGTGTTTCCCATCAGGAGGTAAAGAGGAGCTGATCACAAAAATCTTCATTTAGAGCTTCTGACAAAAGCCACTTCTACTGTAGGGGAAAATAAACCACAAAAAACCCAAAAAACAAAAAAAAAACCAAACCAAACCAAACCAAAACAAAACAAAAAAAAAACAACAAAAAAAACTCCATCACCCCACACTGAAGATAAATGACACAGAGGAACTGAATTTCTGTAGTAGACTAAGTTGCAATTTTCAATTCCCCCACTCCCCACATGACTCCACCGACCCTTGGGAAACAACACCAGGAAAGGGAACAGAGAGGAGCCAGCGGGACGGGAATGGGGAGCTGCTGGGCACTTTCTCCTTCATGTCCCTGACCTGGCAGGAGCCGCTTTAGGACATGGATCCCAAAGGAGCAAGAGGGACCAGGAAGCGCCGCTGATCTGCACAGAGCCCTTTGCCTGCTGCTGCCCCACAGGGAACAGGTCAGTGGAA